GAGAGTTCGCTACCTCGTCGACACTGGCGCAGAAGTTAGCGTTCTCCCAGCAAATCCTAACGACCGACTTCACGAATCGACCCTAAACTTACAGGCGGCAAACGGAAAACCGATCGCTACGTATGGCAAAAGGTACGTTTACCTTAACGTGGGTTTACGCAAACCCATCCACTGGATTTTCGTCGTTGCAGATGTTTCTATGCCAATCATTGGTATGGACCTTCTACAACACCACAATCTGATCATCGACACTCGCAAACGGAGGCTAGTAGACGGAAACACTAATTTGTCCGTTTGCGTAACTTCTTTTACTGGTTGTAGAGTATCCCCAGTCACAGTTAAACATATGATAGACCCACTCTATCAACCACTACTCGATAAGTACCCTGGGATACAACAAACGCAAACGAAACTACCGTGTGTAACCAGCAATGTTACACATCACATCACGACTACAGGACCACCTGTATTTTCTAAAGCACGACGACTAGCTCCTGAAAAGCTAAGGTTAGCGAAAAACGAATTCGATCACATGATGGACTTAGGAATCATACGACCGTCAAGTAGCCCATATGCATCTCCGTTGCACATGGTCCCTAAAAAGGACAGCAACGATTGGCGTCCAACTGGTGACTATCGGCGATTGAACGCGAAAACCATTCCCGATCGTTACCCGTTGCCTCACATTCACGATTTGACAGCTACCTTGAAAGGTACAACTGTCTTTTCGAAAATCGACTTGGTTAAAGCGTATAACCAAATCCCTATGGCTACTGACGACATACCGAAAACGGCTATCATAACTCCCTTCGGACTCTATGAATTTTTGCGAATGCCTTTCGGTCTAAGGAATGCTGCTCAAACATTCCAAAGATTCATAGACGACGTTTTTCGAGGTCTCAACTTCGTACACGCGTATGTTGACGACTGTCTAATCGCAAGTCCGGACAGAGAAACACATCTCAAGCATCTGGACCTTGTTTTCGAACGATTACAAAAACATGGCATAACTGTAAACGTTCAGAAATGCCAATTTGGAACCGACTCGTTAGACTTTCTGGGACACACTATCGATGCTCAAGGTATCCGACCCCTTAGAACCAAAGTGGCGGCCATTCTGGATTACCCAGAACCGACCACCGTCAAGCAATTACGCACGTTCAACGGCCTGGTAAGTTTCTATAGACGTTTCATACCCAGATGCGCATCACTTATGAAACCTCTGACCGACCAACTTCGTGGAAATGCGAAATCCATTAATTTGGACGACACCGCACGAAAAGCATTCTCCACAGTCAAGGAACTGATTGCTAAAGCAACAATGCTCGCACATCAGGACACCCGAGCACCCATTAGCATCGCAGTAGACGCATCCGACTCAGCAATCGGAGGAGTCTTACAACAATGGGTTAACAACTCCTGGCAACCCTTGGCATTTTTCTCTAGAAGGTTGCTAGACACCGAATCGAGGTACAGCACATTCGGTAGGGAACTCCTAGCTATGTATTGTGCTGTACGGCATTTCCAACACTATATCGAAGGCCGTGAATTCACTCTTTTCACGGACCATAAACCGCTCACTTTCTCGTTAAGCTCTCCTTCTGACAAGTACTCTCCCCGTGAGTCTCGACAACTGGACTACATTTCGCAGTTTACTTCAGATATTCAACACATCTCTGGAGCAAACAATGTAGTTGCAGACGCTTTATCTCGTATAACTTCCTTGAACAGTTTCCAAGGAATCGACCTTCTTAAACTCGCCGAGCTTCAAAAAGAAGACAGTGATCTTCAGCACGAGTTATCGTCCACAACACTTAAACTACGCATCAAACAGATGGGAACAGGTAAGGAAACCTTACTTTGTGACACATCTACAGGTAGGGATCGCCCAATCGTGCCGAAACATTATCGACGCAATGTCTTCAACACATTGCACAAACTTTCTCATCCAGGTGTTCGTGCAACCATCAAGCTTATAGCAGAACGATTTTGCTGGCCTGGCATGAATAAAGACGTGAGGGAGTGGGCACGCTCCTGTGTAAGCTGCCAAAAATCTAAGGTTATCAGACACAATAAATGTCCCTTAGGCTCGTTTAAAACTCCCGATGCTCGTTTCGACCATGTTCATCTGGATTTGGTAGGACCTTTACCAGATTCAAATGGATACTCTTATCTCTTAACCTGCGTAGACCGTTTCACTCGATGGCCAGAAGCAGTACCTATCAAGGACAGCACTGCTGAAACAGTGGCCCGCACATTCGTCGAACGATGGGTAGCAAACTTCGGTTGCCCTTCAACCATCACTACAGACCGCGGACGTCAGTTTGAATCTGATCTTTTCCGTCGTCTGACCACACTTTTAGGAATCACTCGCTTCCGAACGACCGCCTACCATCCCCAAGCAAACGGGTTGGTAGAACGTTTTCACCGACAACTGAAAGCTTCGCTATCAGCTGCAAACGTTTCACAATGGACCGACGCTCTTCCACTCGTCTTACTAGGTATCCGCAATGCAGTGAAAGCTGACATTGGATACACTGCGGCTCAACTCGTTTATGGAACGACACTTCGACTTCCAGGAGAATTCGTGGATCCTTCGTGCTCTTCGATGAACATGGATCTAACCTCCTACACGAACAGGCTTACAAACGCAATGCGTTCAGTTAAACCTGCTTCCACTCGACCTCAATCAACTGATGTTTTCGTTCAACCTGACTTACCATATAGTACACACGTTTTCATTCGTCGAGACTCGCATCGACGACCATTCGAATCAGCATACGAAGGACCCTTCAAAGTTCTTCAACGTGAATCTAAGTACTATATAGTCGATAAGAACGGAACCAACGATAGCATCAGCATCGATCGCTTAAAAGCAGCGTATTTAGAAGGAAATCCTATCCACGTCGATTTTCCTTCGGTACAATCGAACGACACGACTCAGACACTAATAATACCTCATCCGACAACCAACGCACACGAAGATACTTCGACAGTATCCGAAAATAAACTTAAAACGACGCGTTCTGGAAGAAGGGTGAGATTTCCAGAACATTTAAACGACTATTGCACGTAAGGCACTTCTCGACATTTTATATTATTTTTTTTTTGAAAAAAAAAACAATTTTAATATGCTTATATATTTTTATTTCTATTAAAAAAAACAAAACAAAAAAAACAATTTTTTAACGCTATTACGTGCTCATGAGTTTATTTTCCATTTTTTTTCCGCCGACCTTGTTTTTTTACGCATATACGAGTGTATTTCGACATGCACTTACATTTTCTTTTTTCTTTTCCAGGACGGCTGGAAAAGAACGATGACGTTTATGAGGATCCGAAATTTTCATTGTACATTTTCTTTTTTTTACTATGTTGTACCTCCGTCCCATATAGTAAGGAAAGACGACCAGACGCTGCTAAATTTAGTAAGCTATCAGAAGAGTGTTTACCAACGACAAACTCGTTGGGTTTAAACTTCTGGCTGGCCACGTCTTAGGGTCGTCACTGCCCCACTAGGGGGGGAGTGATCTGTAGCGGTAAATAAATCCCTAAAATAAATAGCTCTGTAAGTTTTCGACATTGGATGCTGACCATATGTTTTAGTGGACTCATCTAGCTGAAGGCGCTCGGTCAGGCATCCGCACCAGATCACGTGTAGTAACGCCGTGCTCAACATCAACCACAATCGCTAGCCAGATTAGATCAGAGAATCCCGGTATATTGGTCATCGCCAAATATACTCTTCCGATCTCCTCGACTCTGTCTTTTGATTTCTCTTGGTGGGAACGAAATATCTTAGAAGGTGTTACTGGTAGAAGCGTTGTCAAACACTGAATACCTGTGACATCATCAACAGACTAGAACGTATCACTTCGGGGACTCAAGTTCTAATCTTATGAAGAGCGCCTACAATCAGTGAACCTTTACCCACTAGAGTACAGACGTCTTAGAGGTGAAGTAATGACTTATAGCATCCTAAACACTTCTAGGCATCCCCTTAGACACCTAAATAAGCTTGGTCCCTACACAAAACTTAGGAGTAACATGCAGAACTGATGTCACAGCACAGCAGAACGGACTGCAGGCACACTTTTTACTCCTTGGGAGTAGTCGAATGCTGGAATTCACTGTAGGCTGAGCTATTCCGAGCGACTTCTCAGGAGTCCTTTAAGAGAAAACTTGATATATTTTTAAGGACCATGGACATTATCTCGATAGGATTTACCAACTTGTTCTTTCTCTTTTGTCGTTAATATACCTAGGCTCTTACCTGGAGGAATGGGTGATCCACTGCTACTAGAGACAGAAGCCCGTTGAGCGAAAGCTCCTACTCCGTCCACAGCCACTTGAAATCACTTGAAGGATGCCATAGGTATTCGGAGTTTGACAGCGCATTTACATGTAACATCTTTATAATCGAAGTATGCCAACTCAGTCAAACCAAAAGTTAGAAATGAAGTGGTTCGAAAATTTATTTGGGAGGCTACCGATATTTCGGGAAGCATTTAGTCTAAGTTGGCTAATAGTTTCAATGAATGCGTATCATGGAGTATCGGCTAGTGATTTGGTGTGGGTGTGTAACCGAATGTCTTCAGTTGGGTGTGTTTAGTAAGACTATGTCAGCATCAGGTGTCGAAGACTTACAGAACTCCTTATTTTAGGGATTTATTTACCTTTACAACTTTCTAAGGATAATATCACAGGAGCCGCACCTCAATGCAACAAATAAAGAGGCTGGAGATAGATCGTGAGGAACATACATTTCCCTAATTCTGCCAATTTAAAGCTGAAAAACTACCGGGACAAAGTAGTTAACTATTTCATTCTTGGGACCTGTCAACTTTTAGATAAATAATGTTTTATTATCGGTCCGTATTCATATCTTCATTGACAATCAATTCAGTCACAGAATGTATTTCCATGTACTATATTTCAAGGTCGCTTTTCATTTTCTTCCTCAGATATTCCGCCGGGTAATTCTGTACATTAGGCGGAGGATGGATTGGGATTCGTATTACAATAGGCTAGAGGGATGGGTTAAAAAGCAATATGATGGTGTGACTAGTGTTCAAAGACGACTTGAGAATTCTCTACTCGAACAGCAAAAATATTTAAATGCAAATGCACTTGCCCTTAAAAAGTACAAACAAGAAATGGGATTATTTCAGTCTTTGTACTCTCGCAATAGTGATCCGAGCAGTTCTAGTCCACAATCAGACGGAAGACGGAGTGCGCCATGTAAGCATAATTTTCTGGTCAGTTTATTAACTTGCAGCTCGACGATACCTAATACCGCATCCTTGCCGCCGAATCGCTGCTGAATGTATTGACATTACAGTAATGATGGCATTGAAATTAGTTATATTGTATTTCATCAAGAACGACTCAAGTGTAATGTAAGACTTTGTACGAATAACTTAGTAGACATATTTAGTCAGCTGGTTAAAAATATGGGTTCGGACATCCTATCTGGGGTCCCGGAATATCGTACACTCCGACGTGCACATGGATGGGCGAAGACGGATTTCAGTGGAAAGGAATTTCAAGTTTCAAGCATTTGGAGGTCGTTGTTTTTTGCTCATATCGGTGCGAGAGAAGATCTTCTGGATTTCGAAACAATTATACTGGCTGATCAGATAGGACGGTTCCTAAGTGCCCTCTTGGAGGTAAAATGTCTGGCCTTATTTTAGTCTTTTGATATTAACAGTGTGACGGTAAGTATTTACAGACTTAGATAATGTAAAGTTCTTGGCAAGACAAGCATAATCAAAGTCTTGCATAAAACCTTTGCTTTCATCTGAATCTCAGCAAGAAACATTAGACTTACTAAAGGTGTGCGACTTTAGACTTTTATTTAAAAGTGACCTATCCTGGTGGCTGTGTTAGTCCAGTGACCGGTAGAAGCTTTTGGACAGCTTGTACTCATTTTCGTCTGATCGGAATTTATGAATAGTTAGCCCCGGGGTGTAATTCAACTTATAAATTAGATTACCCGGTTCTACACCACTCACATAATTAAACTAAGTACATCAGTATACTCCGTTTTTTACACCTTACATCCTATCTTTATGATTTCATTGACCAGACTTTATGTTTGGCTTCTTGTGTTTAGTTGATTCATAGATTCAGATTCAGATTTGTGTAGTAAGGACAGAAGGCTTACGGCCTATGTTATTCCTTTTCTAGTATGCTTCTGTGAGTGTCCAGTCTTCTCTTGGAAGCGTCAATTGAAGGTGCGGACACCACTGTTTCAGGCAGCAGGTTCCAAGTATTGATGACTCGGTGTGAAAACCTGTATGCCAAGGGTATTTTGTTCGTTCTTGGCTTTTCTACTCGCCTGCTATGTCCTGTGAGGTGTCCCGATCTAGTGGGTGTAATTTAGTGACTTTAAACAGTCATACGCAATAACTCCAGTGTCAAATATAAAATGTTTTCTACACCGAATATCCATGTTCCACAGTAGTAACCAAATGATTGAATGATTTAGTTCTGTACCAATGACCGAGTCTTCACGCTTCGTTTTACCTAGTTTGGTCTAAGTAACCGCTTAGTATTAATAAGCCTTATACTGTGTAGTTCAAAGTCGTGTTTTATCTTGTATTTGGTAAATATCTCAGTAATAGGCTATATAGCCAAGTCATCAAGTAAACAGGCTAGTCATTTATTGCACAAATCGATTCCTCATATATCTGTACACGTACTAATCGCTAAAATGAGGTTATACTGAAACAAAGGTTAGGTCAAAATGCGGCAGTGGTCCCCAAGCTCACTGGTTGTTGTCCATTTTTATGTGAAGACTGCAAATTGTTCGGTTAGATTGTTAAAATGTCTACTAGAGTAAAGGAATGTATTACGTAAACCTAGCTTCTACCACCTCTTAATCGCTATACTCACTAGCATAGGATTAAGTCGGAAAGAGGATGACTTGGGATGTTTATAGAGTTACTAAAACACCAGTCGTTATCGATATCGTCTTTGGGTCAGTGAGCTTGTTTTGATTTGTCACACTGGCACAGATGCATTAGTTAATAATCGTTTAAATCTTGAACTTAGTATATTTGATGCTCACCTGCAATTAACAAGATCCTGACTCCCTTGATTATTAGCTAGGTGCAGGTTAGCCAAAAGTCTAAGGAATGACCGTGAGCAGTGGTGGGTAACGAAAGCAAAAGTGATGGAAAAGGCAGCTGCTGTAGGTAACACCAGACAGCTTTTCATACTAATAAAAGAAACTAGAATCGAAAAGTCAAGTGTAAATGCGACGATCACGGAAAAATATGACACTTATCTGCTCTCAGCCCAGACGTTTAGAACGATGGGTGGAACACTTTAAGGAGCAGTTCTTGTGCTAATGAAGTATGGCAACATAGAACACAACATAGAACTAAGCACATATATGCATCGGTTTATGTTGTGGCTGACTGACTGACTTAAGGAGCAGTTCAGCTAACCACCATTTCCAAACAGCCTGAATGGAACATTGAAGTAGGCCCCCGACTAATTGAAGTTCAAAAAGCTATAGCTAATCTGAAACGAGGAAGAGCAGCTGATCCAGATGGATTGGCTCCAGAGGTCTTTAAGTGTGGTTTTCCAGTTTCAGCGATTAGGTTGACTAATATTTTGGCTAAAATCTGAGTTAGATGTAATTCAATCTGAATGGTCGCAATCACTGATTGTCCCAATATATAAGAAAACATCAAAATCTTCCTGTGACAACCATGGAGTGATTAGCATTTAGAATACTAACCTCAATAATTATCGGACACCTAACAGAGACTCGTGAACTGCAAACACGAGAAAATTAGGCCGGCTTCAGACCTGGTCTTGACTGTATCGACCACATATTCACCATTTGTCAGGTTTTAGAACACAGTCATGCTTATCGGTGTCCTACAACGGTGATCTTTCTTGACTTACAAGCAGCATTTGACTCAGACTGAAAGATTCTGTGACGGACTGTCATTAAAAGATGTACCTCAGAAGTACATAAACCTTTTGAAGGCTCTTTACTCGAACACTACCAGTCGAGTCAGAGCTCATGGCGAACTGTCATCTGATTTTGCAACCTCAAATGGTGTCCATCCAGGCTGTAAATTATCTCCATTCCTGTTTAATTTCATCACAGACATACTGATGGGAACAACGTTCTCGTCGACTGAATTTCGGGCATCGATCTCCTACCAGGAGGTTCACTTATCGACTTAGAATACGTTGATGACATAGTCCTGTTTAGTGAAGATGCCGATAAAGTGCAGAGTGTTTTGGTAGCACTAAGCAACAATGCCAGGATATTTGAAACGCATTTCTCCCTTTCTAAATGCAAGTTGTTGCTTCGGTACTGGCTTGTGTCAACACCTGAACTAATGATAGGAAGTGAAGTAGTCGAACGCATCGACAACTTCACTTATCTTGGAAGTCTGACCAGCCCTAATGTGTTAGCTTCTGACGAAATCCCTGCACGGATTCAGAAAGCTGGTTTAGCTTTTACCAACTTACGTCACCTATAGAGAAGACGAGATGTCCGTTGACCAATTAATGAATGAGTATACTATGCGGCAGTTCGTTCTGTCCTGATTTAAGGTCGCGAGACGTGGCCATTAAGAGTAGAAGATACCCGTAAGCTACTAATATTTGAACACAGATGCCTTAGAAATATTGCCAGCATCTGCTGAGATTACCGGGTAAGTAATAGTGAGGTTAGACGCAGGGTATTATGGAATGATGATAAATCAGTTGATGAGGTTGTAAATTTTCATCGACTGAGATGGTTGGGCCACGTGTTGCGTATGTCTGGACACCGGTTACCACGATGCGCAATGTTGACTAGTGTTGAGGATGGTTGGAAGAACGTTAGGAGTGGCCAAACCAAAACATGGCATCAGTGCTTGAAGTCACTAACTTCTAGTCTGAGTCATGTTGGTAGATGCAGACTACTTGGTTGGGGTCCGCGCGACTATCGTAACCAGTGGTTGGAGCTTCTGGGTGACATGGCTGAGAATCGATCCCAATGACGTAGGTGTATAAAATCTCTGTCTGCCCTTAAACCGTGAGATTAAAATTACTTTATACCTTTCTTTCTATGAACTAATTTTTCTCCTGTATTGTGTCCTTATACACAATTTTTTTCTATATTACTTTCGTTGAAGTGACGACTTTTATGGATTTGGTGATCTTGTTGTGCTAATGAGGTATGGCAACTTGGACCGATGTATATATGTACCTGGTCCTATGTTGTAGCTGACTGACTGATTATTAATTCCCACTCACTGCGATTATGTTTGGTTTGACAACGTTACCGATAATAATTTTTGCTGGGTCGCGTATTGTTTTGTATCTGATTTAAAATAAAATTGAGATGTCTGTATACAGCTAATGAAAATTAGTATCCTTTGAGTGTTACTTATGAGCCTACGCTTGTTTTGTGCAGGCAATTCTAATCAGGCGTTCAATTTTTGGATCTGAACCTGGAGGTGCAACTCTTGGGAAGTGGTTAATGAATCTTAAGGTTGTTTCGTGTGAAGAAATTATACCTTTTCCAGATGTCGTTGAAGTCGTTCCAGGAGCTGATCTGGGGATTATTCGGTGAGTTTTGTTTGTTTTATTTTGACAGTAGTTAGCTGTATTTACTGTTGGCAATAACAGATACGGAGCTAGGGGTAGGGAAATCAGAATATATCATCAAATCATTAAGTGATAGACTGCTGTGTCGGTTAACGCTAATCACTGTGCTGGGGTCCGGTCAGTACTTGTAATCAATGGTTGGAATCGTTGAATATTATTGCCCAAAACCTGTTACAGTGATCCATATGTATTCATTTCCGATGTCCTGGGTCTTAAGTAAAAATTCATCTCTAATTCTTTATTCTTCGATCTCTATCGTTCTTTCCGGACTATATTTATCAATTTTAGGTCTCTCTTGTGGTTGAAATCAACTTGTTCTTTTTTATTCTTGGTAATTTCCTCTCGTCATACTGATGTCAGGTGTGGGAAATAAAAAAGACTTTGGTCTGAGCATTACCCTAAATGTGGTAACCAATGGTACTGACAGGTCTCCCAAACGAAAGTAGATGGAGCGAAGTTAGAACATAAGATTTAATGACTGAAAGTCGAACACCCGGACCACTGAGGCACATCAAACTGGACTGATGAAAATTCTCGTCAGTTCCTACATTGGTACTAATTGAATGGTTGAGTAGCGTCTTTCTAGACTGTAGCGTCGTTAGAATATACGATTCTCAGCCTAAAATAGTGAACAACTATCTAGGAATTGGGATTTATTTACACAAAAATTGCGTGATAAACTGACTACGCATTTGGTTATCGAAAATAGTTTATTTTCAACTTGAATTTACCCGATAGTCTTTAGTCTGTTCGTAATATCAAGTTTGATGTTGAACGTTGTTACCGATTTTAAGTTCAACACCTAAATTCTTCACTTATATATATATATATATATATATATATATATATATATAGAGAGAGAGAGAGAGAGAGAGAGTTAGGGTTTCATCGTTAGGTTTATGTACAAAAGTCTTGTTTTGTCAGTATGTTGTTGAGGTGAAGTTGTAAGTGAATATATAATCACTTTTCTCAAATGGATTAATACTAACAAGTTATTTCCAAAGGGTTCGACTGTCTGTAGCTGTTCATATTTAAACTAATACTGAAATCACATGCCTTTGGGGCTATACACAACACAGTATATTTTCTGAGAGGCGTAGTATGACTCAGAGCTAAGTAACGAAGAAATAGTAGTACACAGGAATTGGTTAATACCGAGAACCACAATCTTTTTATGTTGTTTGTTGAAAAATCTATAAACTGAAGAAAAACAATTAAAGTAATAATAAGGATTTGAAGTTTAATCCAAATTAGATAATGCCTAATCTACATTTTACAATATAGTTTTTAATATTGAATCTTTGTGGTGATTTAGTATGAAATTCTCTAATAGTATTTCCATAAAAACAAATTTATTTTATTTATTTTAATAGAGCACTTGTACGTTCGCTGTTGAAAAGTACAAGCTTTCTCACGTTCTTCTCATTCGTTTGTATGATGGTATTTCAATATCATCGATGTACATATGATATTATTGCTGGAACTTTAGTTGTACAACCTATTACACCAACAACTAATCATCAATCAAACAGTAATAATGAACAAAGACAACAACCCCAACAACAGTGATTGGGCATAACAATGAATTTCCATGTTAAACTTGTTTAAATGCAAGTATTCATTGTAACATAAATATTTTTTGAGGTCAAATTAAAAATAAATGCAATTCTGTTCGTGTGCTCCACTTTAAACCATATAATTTTGATGGGAAGGTTTGTGTATTTCTACTACCCGTTTTCCAAAAACCGAACTACATAGCATAGCTTGGAGGCTAAAATAATTCTATCTCCAGTGATTCGTTTGCCTAAAAAGCCGCTGCTCTTGATCAAACAAACCTACCTCTTGTCTAAGTGGAAAGATTCTAATATAAATCCAGTGTAATAATTAAAAATCATATGCTTTAATCTAATAATCGTAATTCTAATTCTGAATGGAAACATGAAAATGATAATATAACAGTGTCAACCAGAACTAATGTGGAAGTTTTGTATATTGAACTACCTGATGGACATTCAACAAAGACTAGAATCGACGGTGTAAACATGTGATAGTTAGAATTACTTCCAGTTATCTGAAGATATGTTATTTATATGGTGCAGATTATTATATCCAGAGTCTACAAGTGTTATAAATCAGATAATATATTTAATAAATAATCCATTCAACTTCTATACCAAGTACGCGTTTATGTACTTTCCTTTTGCTATTCTTTTTTAATAAGATATTTATATCATTCTATTATGTTATTGTAGTGGATCTGGGTTCGAATTTGTAATACACTGGTTTAATGTCAAATATCTTAACCACTAATCTATCGTTTTAATAACTACTTTATAACCCGTGACTTTTACAGATATCTAACTTATAGATAACAAAACCCTACTTTATTAAATTTTTTAAAGTAGTTATAAGTGAAGTAAAACTCGTTTAAAGTTAAGATAAATGATATTTGCCACACTTTTTGGTGTGTGCCACTAAACAACATTAAATTTTGTAATATTTCGTAATTTGCGCAGGGACGTCAAAAAATGAGAAATTCAGTGGTGATTCTCCAACAAATCTATTTACAGGGTTTACGTTTTTATATAAGTATGAAATATTTAAGGGTACAAAACACCTTTAAGCTATTTCAGTAATCATTATTCATAACATTAGTAACATTGATAATTTATAAAATATAAAAAGTGAAAACTGACTTCCCAGGGTCTTTGAATACTTATGAAATAGAGTAGTTGGCAATCGATTAAAGACATAGTATTAAACTAGTAAATCCTAGGAGTAAACTCACACAATTCGTGGTTCAAAATAATGTTTAGATGTAGATAGAGTAAAATATTGAGTCGAAAAAGTTACTAATGTTAACTAGTAAAGTTTTACTGTACCTAGAAAATGGAGTTAAGCAGTATACAGAAAGACGCAGTTATCAGTCACCTTAATATGTTGCTAGACGTTTAATCATCAGAATGTTAACTTACTCCGATTAATACAAAACCTTGGTAATATACGCAGAAAACGCAATGGGAGTCGTTTCGCTTGTCTGTTCTAGTATGTAGAAATATAATGACATTTGGGGGTGACGTGTGCAGAGCACTTTCAGTCGTTCATAATTCAAATTGATTTATTTTGTTCCTTTTTTATGCGCAAATTTATTTCTCCTGTTTACTGATAAGTAATCTTACAACTGGCGACTTTGTCATTATATTTTATTATTGTTTTAGAATCTTGTGTTCCCTCCATACATCTACCTAATGTGTAGAAAGTTAATATTGATGTAATACCACAAGCTGTATACTATATCTTCACTGTATTGTAGAAATTTGTTTACTTTTATTCAAATCTTTTGTAAAATTTGGAAACTGAATTCATCTTTGCAATGAAAAGTTTAGTCTTATTTTTCGTAGATGTTGTATTATTAGAAGTTTATGCTTGATTTGAAATGCTTGTTTTGTAATTTTAGAAATTGGATCCAAATAATGTTTATTATTTATTTATTTGAACATATAAATATTGGTACAAGGAGACACCAAATATGTATGCGCCACACAAAATAATGAGAATGGGAAGAGAAAAAGAAGGTAAGGAGCGTAAAAGAAAAAAAAAGAACAATAACGACCACAGATTAGTGTAAGGTTGTGTAATAATAATAAAAATGGGAGAACGGAAAGGTACAATCAGAAGAAATCTTTCAGTTAAGTAAGATACATCCACTTTTTACGAAGAAAGTAAAAGAAGGTTGCAACTGGATCGCCACTGGCTTCCATTCTGAGCCATATCTGATAACATCTCAAACCACTGTGTTGCACCATCTCTAGGACCTCAGCCAGGAGTCGTGAAGGACCAACAGGAGCCAACCCTTTGCAGCTTTCTTTCATACCACGACACCATGTCATGCACTGACCACCTCTCCGCCTTTTCCAACCAGTCCCAGAGTCGGCAAATAATGCACGACGTGGAATTCTCTGGGACGACATTCGTAGAACATGTCCAAGCCACCGAAGTCGGTGTTTCAAGATGGTGACATCGATTGCATTATCATCTCTGTGCCCGAACACACGATGCCGAACCTCTGCATTACTAACATGGTATTGCCACTGGATGTCAGCAATCCTTCGGAGACAGCGATGATCGAACACAGAGAGTCGTCTAACGTCCTCAACTCGGAGAGACCAGGTTTCACAAGCATAGAGCAAAACTGCTCTCACCGACGCGTTGTAGATCCGACCTTTTACCGCCAAACCGTTGGGATATTCAGAAAAATATCCCAAAAATTATCCTGTTAAGTCTAATGCTATCCTTGGACTTGAAATTGCATCATTTTCCTATTGGCCAATTTTTGTTTCACGTGTCGTTTCCCTACTGGTCAATATTTATTTAACGTGTCATTTTCCTGTTGCCAAATACTGTACAAATGTTATTTTCTATTTTATGGTACGTTCTGGTCTGTCTGGTTGATATATGAACCGAGTATGTTTGAAATAAATGATTCATATCGCAGAGGTTGAGACTAATGTTCTGGACTTATCTGGCTGGGCTAGGAGGAAAGCAGGACCAATCATAACTCCAGGCTGCTCATACGCGTTTACGCGTCATTGATCCGATCGATAAGTCACTGCTCTCTAATCGGCGTTCACAAGTTATAAATCAGACTGACATCACAAAGGCGCCAAAAATGGCCCAGATCGGCATAAGCGTCTCTGGCTTTCACTATACGTGCATTGATCTCATCACTCACACCCCCACCAATACTTACGCAGATACACGAACTTCTCGACTACTTCTATCCGCTCACCATCCAGGGTGAGTACAGGATTAGGATCCTGCCAATCTTGTAGAAGTACTTTGCATTTCGAAGGTGCAAAGCACATACCATACCTACGGACACTGATTGCCAAATGATTAAGTGCGGATTGCATGGCTTGGGCATTATCGCACAGTAAGACAATATCATCCGCATACTCAAGGTCGAGAAGTCTTTCTCCAGGCACCAGACCCACACCGCCTTTACTTACATTCATCAGAGCTGTTTCCAGAATGTCTTTAGTGGCAAGGTTGGAGAGGAATGGTGAGATTGGGCAATTCTGTCTGAGGTATTCGTATATAGGGCTTTTAGGATGTTAATAAACTTCTCAGGCACACCCTTCTTCAATAGACAATCCCAGAGAACAGTCCTATCCAACGAATCGAAGGCAGCCCTGATGTCAAGAAACACTACGATTGTTGGCCTTTGATAAGTATGGCGGTGTTCTAACATTTGGCGGAGGGTGAAGATATGATCAATACATCCTCGACCAGAACGAAACCCAGCCTGCTCCTCGCGAGTCAATCTTTCTCGGGTTTTGAACAACCTACGAAGTATGACGGAAGCCAATAGCTTGGACGCAATCGGAAGTAGACTTATCCCCCGATAGTTGTTACAGGAACGACGTGAACCCTTTTTAAAGATAGGGACAACTATCGACTCATTCCATGACGTTGGTACACTCTCTAGTTCCCAAACCTTTGTAAACAACGTCGTCAATTCCTTAGTCAAAAAGTCACCACCATCTTTAAAAAGAGCCGGAGGTAAGTCATCTGGGCCAGGTGATTTGTAACGCTTCAAGAGTTGGAGTTCCTTGCGGACTTCCTCCTCGTTTGGTGGATCAGTCGTCACCGGCCATGGAGGGCAGGACAGTCTGACCGATGTTGCCGGAGCAGCAGGCCAGTTGAACTGCCCTTCGAAAAATTCTGCCCATCGTCCAAGACGTCGATGGATGTTAGTGATTGGCATCCCATCATCCTCGCAGATTGTTTCACTCACACCAGACTTCTTGCTGCCAGTGGCTCGGATGAGTTGGAAGAGCTTCCGGTAGTTACCAGATGCAGCTGCTGCTTCCAGCTCATTAGCACGCTTCGACCACCAGGCTTCTCGGTCCTTACGCAAGCTTTGCCCGATTTCATTACGTAACAGCCTTCGTTTGCGGTCAAACTCACGGCCATCCGGAGTAGACCGACGGGCTTCAATGAGTTGTAAGTAGCCTGAAGAAACCCAGTGCTTATAAGCGGGACGTCTCGCGAACCCACAACTAACTGTACCCGTCATTTTCATGGCGTCATGCAACTGCAACCAATGCTCATCTATACTTTTCGGTGGAATGGTAGCCAGCTCGGTTCGATACTTGCAACAGAAGTTGCTAACATCAACCCTTTGGTGGCGGTCACTTCGTTGGCCACTGAAGAGTAAGGTAAGATTGGCGAAGACCAGGGCATGATCGGAGCCCAGATAGGGACTCCAAAAGGAGCGGCAGTCTTGTACACAACCACGCCAGCGGTAGCTGATCGCGATGTGATCAATTTGAGTCCAGGCTTGAGATGCAGAGGGATGACGCCAGGTGGCACATCGGCGATGACTGTGCCGAAAGTTAGTACTAGCCAGAAACAGGTTGTGGTCTGTGCACAGTTGCAGTAGACCAACGAGTCCCCATCGGCCACCTAAACGACTCTCTTCTGTGCCTAGACGCCCGACCTGAGCATTCAAGTCTCCGGCTAGTACTACAATGTCTGTCGAACGCACTTTCTGGAGAAGAATAGAG